ACATAAGATGACTAGCGCACAAAGACACGGAAGGTTGAAGAGATGCGTCAATGTAGGGATCTCCGACCACAGGGACACGCGCGGGCTCAACGACCCCGGGGTAGAGGGTAGGCTGTACGCCTTACAGCTTAAAAAACAGCATTTACAAACGCGTTGAAGTCCCCTCCAGCGGTAGAACCCTAGGCGATATAGTCGATACCTCAGGAGCGGCCCTCAACACTCGGCTTGACCTAGTCCACATCGGTGATGATAGATGGTCGGTATACCCATCGTTCGGTGGCAAACTGTTCGACTTAGAAGACGTTGAGAGGACGACCGTCACCAGAAACAAGCCATATACGCTCGTGTTCACCGACGACGACAAGTGTTGTTACCCTCTCGAGTCGATTGGTTTCTCAACATTAGTCTCGGCTCCCCCTACGTGTTCACAGAGAACAAAGACAACTACCTAAACAAAGTCATGAACAACGGAACCCTGCTCGTGGCTTACGTCCCGATGCAGAGGCGTAGCATAGTCATCAGCCCACTCTCCAGTATGGCAGCCCATATGCTATCGAGTAAGCCCAGGGCGCAAAAAGTGGCATTGCAGGTGGTGTCTGAATTCGTAGGCGTGGTCAACATCCTGGAGAGTCTACCAGCGAACTCCATGCTGGTCATCCAAGTCTACCTAGGTGAACCACAGCGCGAAGTCGAAGTCGTGAAGGGGATCAAACTCCGGTGGGTGAAACAACACCAGTATCAGGTTTGCACTGTTTATGTGCGGGTGGGTGTCGACTCCCACACCAGTCTGCAGGGGGTCACTGTGACCGTGGCAGACACGATATTACTCACCAAGATATTCCTACCCGACAACATACACTTCATGGGGTTGAAGTGCACCCCTGAGAAGTTATTAGAAAAACAGTTGGAAACTATCTTGTGATAGTAATGTAACAATGACCAGTCATCGCCCCAACGTCGCGCCATCGACCTAGGAGACACGGAGGGGTTCGATCTGCCTGACGAGGAAGACGCCGTGTACGTCCTGCACTTGAAAGACAACGTGTATAGGTGGGCGGCAATGGCCGATCATCGACCCAACATCACACTCGGGGACCTAGGAGACACTAGGGGGTTCGATCAGCCCGGCGTGAAGGGCACCTCGTACGTCTAAGTACTCGTCTAATACCGGATCACACGGGTAACATGTTAGTGACACACCATTCAGACTTAAGGTTTGACGGCCCCGATTCCCAATTGAATCTTATGGCTATGAAACCAGGCTCCACACTTGCCATAGAAGTCTATCTCGGGGTACTTTTTGGTGATACAGGACTACAACTTTTACCCGGGGTGACAATACACTGTTACTCCATACTCAGGAAACAACGTTGCAGTATCGTCAAACAAACAGACCCCTCAACGGGTTCTATAGTCCACTCAGTAAGCCTCTATGGGGTTCGTGTGGATGCAGAGTTACCTTGTAGCCTCTCACCTATTTCCCTGTACGATGATCTAAGCCTTTTAAGCCTCAAATTCACTGTGCAAGGATTAAATGGCACACAATTAAAAGATATTTCATTGAATATATTATATACACACAGGATGGGGCTGTACCCAGTCGTAGAGGAAGTAGTGAAGACCCTGGACACCGTAGACGGGTTCCGCTTGAGGCAGTTATGGGACATAAAACGCCAACTAGAACAAGACCGCAACAGACAGGCAGCATTATGCAAGAAGTACCATAGGGCTTTCAATTTCGTGGAGGGGCCGATACCGCCCTTATGACAACCAGCATGGGACTAGGGGCGGTAGGTGTCGGGTTGTTGACCACCATCGTGGCCGCACCCATAGTTCTGGGCATCGAGATAACAGCTGGGGTGTCAGGGTTGATGGGGTTGGTGTTTAAGTTTGCATCCCGCTGACTGCATCGTAAAGCATTGAAGCACTACGAGATCAGGGTTCTAGCTGAAGCAAAGCTGTACACGGTAAGTGACCATATCTCCACGGCCCTCACAGACAACAAGATCTCGGAGGAGGAGTTTCGTTTGGTCCTCTCTGAACTCACCAAGTACCATGAGATGAAACAAGAGATTCGAACCAATTCTCTTAAACTGCCGTCATCGAAGCCGAGAAAATTCAGTACATAGAACAAGGCATACAACAAGCCCGGCAAGCCTTCATCACGAAGACCAAAGAGCTCATAGGCGATTCACATTAAACTGTTTCCTAGAGGTCAACACGACATAGGGCGATCACAATAGCATCACGTGATCAGGAAAGTGTTGGTTCGCGGTTATAGTGACCAGGAAGTTAACTGGGGGTTCAAACCATGGTATATACAATAGCGGAGAGAGATAAGGGCCTGACAAAAGCTTTATTTCATAAATGAAGCTCTAAATTGATCTCGTACCGCTATTGTATATACTACTCTTTGTTATACGTTGTATATGCAGAAAGTCACCCTGTGTGTATATCCGGGTAAACCTCGGAAAAAACCCTCAGATGTATAATGTATTCCATTGTCGAGTTGTTATAGTTGTAGTAGTTTGTATTTGAGCAACAATAGCCCTTAGCCCTGAGAGCCAGGCGTTCCTAAATATTGTTTACCTATTGATAAGGTTGAACAGTAACAGTTGATAGCGGTGAAGATCCGGGTTAGAATTGGTCTGCAGCAACCTATGCTTGTCGCAACAGGCGATTCACGGGATCGGGTGGTCAGGCTCACTGACTTGGTTGACATTTGTCATCGTATCCCACTTAGGTAGATAGCTGCTAACAATGTTGATCACTGGATTGCCTGGTCCAGACTACATTACTTACAGACAAGCAAAGAAACAAACAAAGTAACTGTTGATATCTTACGCGTCCTTGTCAATTCAGGAGAATGACAAACGGCAAACGGCGTAACTGCAGACTTCAATAGTTATATAACCGAGACATCTGAAGCTGAACAAACAAACGTGTTCGATGTTACGTGTTATCATACAATTTAATATTCTAAGGTACATATAGCTTACTGGGAAATTATCACACGCGTTCCTATCTCAACTGTTCACGTCAGTTTGTTTCAGGTGTTTCAAATTAAACCCCATTAGTCAGATGCTGAGATAGCACACATGACCTATCAATGTCCATGATATCCACGGGTCATCAAATTCATTTAGTTAGATAACAATGAACAATCATATTAAATAATGTATTCTCAGCGAATTCCTCGAGCAACGTATGTTGTTTTTTTACATTAGTAATCCGAGATCATTTTGGCACTCGTGGTGAGTGCTGGGTAAGGCTAATAGCTCTCCCCTGCATGGACCCGGGGTAAAATCTGCCAACAGCACCCCATTGTCGTTCGTAAAAGGCGACCAAATGGGCAACCTGTTTGCCCTTGTGTCGGTGGAGGAAGGGATTCTGGTGGTCGAGGACAAAGGAGCCAGGAACCGTGTTCCCTTTGCCCAACACACCACTTCCAATGGGACTGATTCTATCAATGGGCTGGTCACGTCATGCCCTGTGCATACAATACTTTTGTCTGTGAACATGCAAATGTGACTTGAAAGAAACCTTGTTTATGACACACTTGAGTGATCTATTATGCCTGGAGTCCCATGCCAGTAGGCAGTGGTTCAAGGGGCAAACTGGTGATATGAAACACATCACACCTTAGACACTTATGTATAGCATATTAGCCAGTGATATACTTATATTTGGGGTAATGCCCTGTCACCGGACAATCTCCTGATGATAATCAAATATGCTAACCTCACAAAGAAATGTATTGTAAACTTAAACAACGAGACTAAGGCTTTGAATAGTTATATCTGTATGAAATATCAGAGGTCAGGTTTCAGAGTATACAGCTATCCTGCGTGTTTCTTTGTGTAGGCCATGAACGTGTGTGGTCCTGTGCATAGAGTTCAGGTCACAAGTAACAAATCAGTTGAAATTAAGCAATGTTGGTCGAGGACACCTCTTGAATGGGTGACCGTGTTTGGCAGCTTGACTCCTGAGAGTTTCTAGGACTTCAGTCCTGCCCCACAACGAAGCACATGTGATACATGTGGTCTCATCTTAGGCAAGTGAGTTTGTTCAAAATTGCCTCTGTTCACCCAGCAGAAAACGGGCAACGGTGGGATAAGTCATGCGACTATGTCCAGTTTTCAAAACTTAGCTTGGGTTCTAATGTGGAGGGGGCGGTGGGGTAGCCGAATGGTTAAAGCGTTGGCTCGTCACGCCGAAGACCCCGGGTTCGAATCCCCACGTGGGCACAATGTGTGAAGCCCATTTCTGGTGTCCCCCGCCGTGATGTTGCTGGAATATTACTAAAAGCGGCGTAAAACCAAACTCAGCCAGTCAGTCAGTCTAATGTGGAGGGATTATGTCCAAGTTTGAAAACAAACAACCTGTACTATAAGTTTACAAAGTCTTAATCCGAGTAGAGGAGTTATCTCCAATATCAATGAATGATCACAAGATCCCCGATTCATTTGGCTTCTAATCATCATAAGTAGGCCTTGGGAGTCTCCCTTATAGGTTTATTTCAAAGAGTAGACAAATTGGGAGTAATCAGCTCTACAGGTACAGTGCTCCATTATATGTTTATGTTCATGAGAAGCCAAACTGGGAGTGGTCATACTGGGACTAGTCATAATCTGAAGATACCCTCAGCTTGGGTTATCAGGGGTAATAATAATAATAATTGTAACTCTTTGAGCGTGCCCATCCGTGGTGCGGAATTCAACACATTACAAATGCCCTTATTATTATTATTCTCTTGCTGGACATGAAAACTATAAGAAAATAACAAACCAAATCAAAACAATAATAAAATACAGACTATATGTTGCACTAAATGGTTCTTTTAGCCTTTGATTCCGCTATATAGCTGGAATATTGCTGAGCGCGGCATAAAACTCAACTCACTCACTCATTTAGCCCTTGATTGTGTATTAAGATTGAGGTTGATCTAAGTACTCTGTTATAATTATGTGACAGGTGTTACAACTGTACTTTACCTTCAGGACAGTGAGTAATGGAAGGAAATCCTGACGCAAGTGACCATCAGATGACCGGAAGGCTTACTGAGGAAGCAGCTGAAGTCCTGAGAAGGAATGAACAAGGGAGACAACCAGCCTCTATATTAGCCACACAGCACAACTACAGTGAGCATTTCATACTCAAAGTCACGCGCGTGCAGTGCAGATAAGCATGAGTATTAGCAGCAGATGGTCTATAAATATAGGCTTGAGTGAGAAAGAACTGATCCAAGTGAAATAATTTGTTTGAATTTATGCTTAGACAGTATGAGAATAACAGGAAAATTGAGACCAGAGGTTAACTTGTTCTGTTGCAGGTGGTCCAGTGTCTCAGGTGGACTTGACCAATGCGTCCAATGTCTCTGTCTCCGTTGGGGAGCAAGGAACTAGAATGTCTGTCACAAGGTGAGATGCTGCACAAACATCTTGATCAATTGATAGAGAGGATAATGACGAAAAGCCCATCTCTTATGCTGTTTTCCATCCCTTATGTAGCCGCTGAAAGGGCACAACTATTTTGTCCTGAAAATGAAAAGAGGACAATTTCGCATGGTCACTGGGACTAAGCTTTTATTAATTGGAAAAGCCATAACAATCTTCTCAAATAGACTGGAGATTTGCTCTCAGCTTTTATCGTAAAAATAATTGCTCAGAAGACATGATGGATTTCCTGAACAAAGTACAGTTGATCTAAAATATTTAGAGTATTCTCGTTATAGACCGATGTAACAGGATACTCTCATCCTCTGCAGTGAGCTTAAGGTGGAAATGTCACAATTACTTGTATCAATTGCCAGAATCAGACCCAAACACCGACCACATTAACTGTCTAATAATTTCATTTCCATTTCCCCACAGAACGTTTCTGTCACAAGGTGGAACACCTAAAGAAGTATTTTGTGAACATCCATGCCCTCCAGACAGCTAAACAACTCCTTGAGAAGTATGGTCATGCCAGCATCTGTGGAGCTCCAGGAGATGGGAAGACCAGCATTGCTCTGATGATCTGTGAGGAATATCAGCAACAGGGATACGAAACAGTGTTTGTGGAAGACATTCAACTCTTTGATGTTGATACAATTTCTAAACGACAATCACACATGTTGGTTGTTTTTGACGATATATTTGGCTCTGTTACATTCAGTTTAAATTTGGAAAAAATACATAAACTGTTTAGGGCTTTGGTTGATGATCGTGCTAAAACTGCTGCAGATGCTGAGGTTTCAAAGAAGAAGAAGGATGAAGAAGGGAAAGACAAATCCAAAGAAGAACCCCCTGTTTACAAACTAAAACTTTTGTTCACATCTAGGACATACAACTGGAAAGAAGGATGTTCCAGACTACGTCAGTACAAAGTGGATCTACTTAGAGCAGAAGCTGTTCTTGATATGGCTAAAGACTGTCTGACGACTGAAGAAAAGAAACGTGTGTTATGTTCTTACAAGTCCAAACATCCTGCATGCGATATCTCTGAAAAGGATATGTGTATCATCACAGATTCAAAACACAACATATTTGGATTCCCTCTTATCAGCAGACTGTTTTTCACCAATGCTGTTTTCCAGTTGCACAAGCTGGAATTCTTCAACCATCCACTGACCTACCTGAGAAGCGACCTTGACACTATTGTCCGTGAAGAAAGCAATAGATCGGCAGCAATCATCATCCTCATCCTGTCTGATGGAAAACTGAACCTTGTTTCTTTGCAGTCACGGAAAGCTGGACATGTGATGTTTGACGCTGTCAAGGATGTAGTTCCTTTTTGTACAAGGACAGGCATTGTCAAGGAGATCAACAACTTTACTGGGATCTACTGTACAATCGAGGATCACATAGCATTTTTCTCCCACCCCTCCATATACGATGCTGCAGCCTGTGCTGTAGGATGTCTCAATATCGTGTTGCTGCTGGAACACTGCTCACTGAAGTTCTTGTATGAACGAGTGAGACTAAGTATTAGTCTACAGTCATCAGACATTGATGATGTCACAAACCTGATCTCCATCACGCCCCAACTACACCCAGTGGTAGTGAACAGACTGGTGGAAGGTATTCGACAAGGGTGCTTCATCTGGACAGTAAAACACCCCGTTCTCCAGGATGAAAGGATTGCCTCTCTACTATGGACAGAGATTAATGATAATATTGGTGAGACTGTCCTGCGAAGGGATATAGAAACTGGTGAAAGCTTTTTGTATTTGGCTTCCCTATCTTACAGTTACTTTCTATTCTCCAAGTCTTTAGAAGTTGCTGTAAGACTGGGTGACACAGCACCTGATCTATATACATGTGTGGTAGCCTGTATTACCCATGACAAACTGGAATATTTGGAACACCTCGTTACAGTGATGTGTAAACGTGGAGGATTTGATGTTGAATATGCCATCGACGGGACAACCCTCCTGCTCATTGCTGCGAAGTCCCGAAATCATAAGGTGTTCAACTTTCTCATACGGAAAGGTGCTGATATTTCAGTGACGGACAGGAAAGGAAACACCTGTTTGCATTATGCGTGTGAATCAGGAAGCATGGCGTTGACAACAAAGGTGGTTGAAACATGGCCTGCCTTGATTAATTTGATGGGTTATGAGAATTTAACGCCTGCAGTGATTTGTACCAAAAGAGGTCGCCTTGATATTCTAAAGTTCCTAAAACAAAAAGGAGCCGATTTAACAGTAACAGGTGGGAAAGACTGTTTGCATTTTTCGAGTGAAAATGGTAATCTTTCAACTGTGAACTTCTTAATTTCACTGAAGCTATTCGATGTGAACAAGAAGGAAACATCATTGAGTCGAACAGCAGTTATGTTTGCCGCAAAAGGAGGGCATGAAGATGTTTATCTTCGTCTGCTGTCTGAGGGCGCTGATCTGACCATAACTGACGGGCATAATAAAGACTGCCTGATGCTGGCATGTGAAGGTGGTAACATATCTATTGTGAAACACATCATATCCATGAAAACATGTGACATCAACAGACGAGGAGGGTCCTCAGGAAAAACACCAATTATGACAGCATTAGTAAGAGGACACTATAATGTGTATCATCTCCTTGTATCTGAGGGTGCTGATCTCACCATTACTGACACAAGCAACAGAGACTGCCTGATGTTGGCATGTGAAGGAGGTATCATATCTATTGTGAAACACATCATATCCATGAAAATAAGTGACATCAACAGACGAGGAGGATTTTCACGACAAACACCAATTATGATGGCATTAGAGAGAGGACACTATAATGTCTATCATCTCCTTGTATCTGAGGGCGCTGATCTGACCATTACTGATATATGCAACAGAGACTGCCTCATGTTGGCATGTGAAGGAGGTAACATATCTATTGTGAAACACATCCTATCCATGAAAACATGTGACATCAACAAACGAGGAGGATCCTCAGGAAAAACACCAATTATAATAGCATTACATAGAGGACACTATGATGTGTATCATCTCCTTGTATCTGAGGGCGCTGATCTGACCATTACGGATGTAAACAACACTGACTGCCTCATGTTGGCATGTGAAGGAGGTAACATATCTATTGTGAAACACTTACTATCCATGAAAACATGTGACATCAACAGACGAGGAGGATTATCAGGGAAAACACCAATTATGATGGCATTAGAGAGAGGACACTATGATTTGTATCATCTCCTTGTATCTGAGGGCGCTGATCTGACCATTACGGATGTAAACAACACTGACTGCCTCATGTTGGCATGTGAAGGAGGTAACATATCTATTGTGAAACACTTCCTATCCATGAAAACATGTGACATCAACAGACGGGGAGGAGAGTCAAAACAAACACCAATTATGATGGCATTAGAGAAAGGACACTATGATGTGTATCATCTCCTTGTATCTGAGGGCGCTGATCTGACCATTATTGATAGGTACAAAAACGACTGCCTGATGTTGGCATGTGAAGGAGGTATCATATCTGCTGTGAAACACATCCTATCCATGGTAACATGTGACATCAACAGACGAGGAGGAGAGTCAAAACAAACACCAATTATGATGGCATTAGAGAAAGGACACTATGATGTGTATCATCTCCTTGTATCTGAGGGTGCTGATCTCACCATTACCGATGCAAACAACAGAGACTGCCTCATGTTGGCATGTGAAGGAGGTAACATATCTATTGTGAAACATATCCTATCCATGAAAACATGTGACATCAACAGACAAGGAGGATTCTCAGAAAAAACACCAATTATGACGGCATTAGAGAGAGGACACTATAATGTGTATCATCTCCTTGTATCTGAGGGCGCTGATCTGACCATTATTGATAGGTACAATAACGACTGCCTCATGTTCGCATGTGAAGGAGGTATCATATCTATTGTGAAACACATCCTATCCATGAAAACATGTGACATCAACAGACGAGGAGGAATCGCAGAAAAAACACCAATTATGATGGCATTAGAGAGAGGACACTTTAATGTGTATCATCTCCTTGTATCTGAGGGTGCTGATCTGACCATTATTGATAGGTACGATAAAGACTGCCTGATGCTGGCATGTGAAGGTGGTAACATATCTATTGTGAAACACATCCTATCCATGAAAACATGTGACATCAACAGACGAGGACGATTATTAGGAATAACACCAATTATAATAGCATTAGATAGAGGACACTATGATGTGTATCATCTCCTTGTATCCGAGGGCGCGCATCTGACCAAATCTGACAAAGACAACAGAGACTGCCTGATGTTGGCATGTGAAGGAGGTATCATATCTATTGTGAAACACATCCTATCCATGAACACATGTGACATCAACAGACGGGGAGGAATATCAGGAAAAACACCAATTATGATGGCATTAGATAGAGGACACTATGATGTTTATCATCTCCTTGTATCTGAGGGTGCAAATCTGACCATTATTAATATGTGCAATAACGACTGCCTGATGTTGGCATGTGAAGGAGGTATCATATCTATTGTGAAACACATCCTATCCATGAACACATGTGACATCAACAGACAAGGAGGATTATCAGGAAAAACACCAATTATGATGGCATTAGAGAGACGACACTATGATGTGTATCATCTCCTTGTGTCTGAGGGTGCTGATCTGACCATTACTGATAAAAACAACAGAGACTGCCTGATGTTGGCATGTGAAGGAGGTAACATAACTATGGTTAAACACATCCTATCCATGAAAACATGTGACATCAACAGACGAGGAGGGTTATCAGGAAAAACACCAATTATGATGGCATTAGAAAGAGGACACTATGATGTGTATCATCTCCTTGTATCTGAGGGTGCTGATCTCACCATTACTAATAAAAAAAACACTGACTGCCTGATGTTGGCATGTGAAGGAGGTAACATATATATTGTGAAACACATCCTATCCATGAAAAAATGTGACATCAACAGACGAGGAGGATTATCACGAAAAACACCAATTAGCATTACATTAGAGAGACGACATTATGATGTGTATCATCTCCTTGTATCTGAGGGCGCTGATCTGACCATTACGGATGTAAACAACACTGACTGCCTCATGTTGGCATGTGAAGGAGGTAACATATCTATTGTGAAACACATCCTATCCATGAACACATGTGACATCAACAGACAAGGAGGATTATCAGGAAAAACACCAATTATGATGGCATTAGAGAGACGACACTATGATGTGTATCATCTCCTTGTATCTAAGGGTGCTGATCTGACCATTACTGATGTAAACAAAACTGACTGCCTGATGTTGGCATGTGAAGGAGGTAACATTTCTATTGTGAAACACATCCTATCCATGAAAACATGTGACATCAACAGGCGAGGAGGAGAGTCAAAACAAACACCAATTATGATGGCATTAGAGAGACAACACTATGATGTGTATCATCTCCTTGTATCTGAGGGTGCTGATCTGACCATAACTGATACAAACAACACTGATTGACTGATGTTGGCGTGTGATATAGGTAACATGTCTATTGTGAAACACATCCTATCCAAGAAAACAGACGAAGAGGATGGCCTAACCAAACACGAACCATGACAACATTTAAAGAGGAAAATATACTAAGTTCCAAAAGAAACGCGACATTCATGTTTGTTTTGAAATTTCCAAAATTATCTTATCTACTTCACAATCATAATGAATGTGCATGTTAAATGTTCTTTGAAACCAATTTTCGAAATTAAACTTCTGAAACAAGACGTTTAACGTTAGATAAGACGTAACAACTGAATCTAATTAATGAACATTTTTATGGAAAAAAATACAGAAACGCATCACATAAACGCATGCCCCGGCGCGTTGTGCATGTGAATTTAATGAAACGCAGCTTTCTTCGCGAGAGAAAGAACCCTTTAAAAGATGCGAGGGCAGTTTCTGTTGCTGTTCAATATGCCTCGTCTAAGCAATGAAGCACGTCTACGTGCTCTTGGGATGATTGATGCTGGTTCCATCGTTGCAGCGCAATGAAGCACGTCTACGTGCTCTTGGGATGATTGATGCTGGTTCCATCGTTGCAGCGCAATGAAGCACGTCTACGTGCTCTTGGGATGATTGATGCTGGTTCCATCGTTGCAGCGTTGCACAACATATGGGAGTACATCGGACGACAATTTACCGACAGATTGAACGCCAAAGTCAAACGAATTCGGTGAGAGATCGACCTAGAGATGGCAGGCCACGAATGACGTCACACAGGCAAGACCGTTACATCGTAACGTCACATCTTCGCAACCGTTTTCTTCCAGCTACTGTTACAGCCCGTCAGACAATTGGGATTCACAACAGACCAATTTCAGGAAACACTGTGCTTCGACGTTTGAGAGCACACCGGCTACACTGTAGGAGAACCTGTGTTGGACCGATTTTGACGCCACGGCACCGTTGTCTGCGCTTAGCATGGGCTCGCCAACATCAGCATTGGAGATATGCACAGTGGCAGAACGTTGTTTTCTCAGACGAGAGTCGTTTTTGTGTCCACGTTGCAGAGTGGAGAGTGAGAGTATGGCGCCGACGAAATGAACGTTTCAGAGACCCACGTGTTCTGGAAAGGGACCACTGGGGTGGGCCTTCCCTTATGATGTGAGGGTGGAATAATCCGGGGAAAGCATGTACCACCTGTAATCTTCCAAACCAACGGTCAAGGTCGTGGACGGGGTGTAACTGCACGACGCTACATTGACGAAATTTTTGGCCTGTTGTCGTCCTGCTCTTTAGACCCAGACCACAGTTGCAGCTCCAACACGGTAATGCCCGCGCGCACGCCGCCATTATCATAGGACAATTCTTGTCCAATCACATATCAAGACAATGGTTTGGCCACCTCTTAGTCAAGATTTGAATCCAGTGGAACATCTCTGGGACGAGTTGGACCGACGCCCTCGTCAAAGACCAGTTCCTCCACAAAGTCGGCGGCAGTTGTAGAATGCAGTGTTGAATGAGTACAATAGCATTCCCCGTGCTTTCATTCGACGTTTGTTCATGTCCATAGGAAGACGGTGTACTCATGTGATAAACAATAATGGTGGTCATACCAGGTACTGATAACATCGATTATCAGCTTAAGCTTCTAAACGTGTCTAACGCAGACTCTTCAGGTTGGACACAATATGAAAACTTCATCAGATCTTAAAACCACTGTCGTTGCTATTGTCTTTTATGTTTCTTTGGAGCGTTCTGTGTAAAGCATATAGTGGCAGGAAGTATGAATGTGGGATAACAGTTCATATTCAAATGGACTTGTCGCGTTTCCTTTGAGAACTAAGTATATTAATGTGGGATAACAGTTCATATTCAAATGGACTTGTCGCGTTTCCTTTGAGAACTAAGTATATTAATATGTTTATCATCTCCTAGTATCTGATGGTGCCGATCTGACCCACACTAAAAATAGAACAATGACTGTCTGATGGTGGCATGTGAAGAAGGTAACATATTGTGAAACACATTCTATCCATGAAAACATGTGACATCAACAGACGGGTGTGTGTATCAAAAGAAACAAACTACCAAACACCGATTATGAAGGCATTAGAAAGAAAACACTATGACGTTTATCATCGCCTTGTGTCTGAGGGCGCAGGTGTAAAGGTATATATAGCTGTGTACTGAGTTGTAGTGTAGACAACATTGTTTTGTGTTGTATTGATGAACATATAGTTGTATAGTGATGGCAAGGTGTATATATCATAGTATAGTGTTGGCAAGGTGTATATATCATTCTATAGTAGTGTAAAGGTGTATATAGCTGTGTACTGAGTTGTAGTGTATACAACATTGTTTTGTGTTGTATTGATGAACATATAGTTGTATAGTGATGGCAAGGTGTATATATCATAGTATAGTGTTGGCAAGGTGTATATATCATTCTATAGTACTGTAAAGGTGTATATAGCTGTGTACTGCGTTGTTAGTGTATACAACATTGTTTTGGGTTGCATTGCCTGACTGAGTTTGGTTTTACGCCACTTTTAGCAATATTCCAGCAATATCACGGCGGGGGACACCAGAAATGGGCTTCACACATTGTACCCATGTGGGGATTCGAACCCGGGTCTTCGGCGTGACGAGCCAACGCTTTAACCACTAGGCTACCCCACCGCCCTGGGTTGCATTGATGAACATATCGTTGTATACAGTTGACAAGGTGTATATATCATAGTATAGTGTTGAAAGGTGTATGTATCATTGTATAGTATTGTAAAGGTGTATATGGCTGTGTACTGCGTTTTTAGTGCATACAACATTGTTTTGTGTTGTATTGATGAACATATCGTTGTATAGTGTTGACAAGGTGTATATATCATAGCATAGTGTTGTCAAGGTGTATATATCATAGTATAGTGTTGAAAGGTGTATATGTCATTGTGTAGTATTGTAAAGGTGTATATAGCTGTGTACTGCGTTGTTAATGTATACAACATTGTTTTGGGTTGTATTGATGAACATATCGTTGTATAGTGTTGACAAGGTGTATATTACATAGTATAGTGTTGAAAAGGTGTATATATCATTGTATAGTGTTGGCAAGGTGTACATATCATTGTATAGTGTTGGCAATGTGTATATATCATAGTATAGTATTGGCAAGATGTATATATCATTGTATAGTATTGTAATGGTGTATATAGCTGTGTACTGCGTTGTTAGTGTATGCAACATCGTTTTGGGTTGTATCGATGAACATATCGTTGTATAGTGTTGGCAAGGTGTATATTACATAGTATAGTGTTGAAAAGGTGTATATATCATTGTATAGTGTTGGCAAGGTGTACATATCATTGTATAGTGTTGGCAATGTGTATATATCATAGTATAGTGTTGGCAGGGTGTATATATCATTGTATAGTATTGTAAAGGTGTATATATCATTGTATAGTATTGTAAAGGTGCATATAGCTGTGTACTGCGTTGTTAGTGTATACAACATTGAATTGTGCTGTATTGATGAACATATCGTTGTATAATGTTGACAAGGTGTATATATCATAGCAGAGTGTTGGCAAGGTGTATATATCATAGTAAAGTGTTGAAAGGTATATATTTCATTCTATAGTATTGTAAAGGTGTTTATAGCTGTGTACTGCGTTGTTAGTGTATACAACATTGTTTTGGGTTGTATTGATGAACATATCGTTGTATAATGTTCACAAGGTGTATATATCATAGTATAGTGTTGACAAGGTGTATATATCATTGTATAGTGTTGGCAAGGTGTATATATCATAGTATAGTGTTGGCAAGGTGTACATATTATTGTATAGTGTTGGCAAGGTGTATATATCATAGTATAGTGTTGGCAAGGTATATATTTCATTGTATAGTATTGTAAAGGTATATATAGCTGTGTACTGCGTTGTTAGTGTATACAACATTGTTTTGGGTTGTATTGATGAACATATCGTTGTATAGTGTTCGCAAGGTGTATATATCATAGTATAGTGTTGACAAGATGTATATATAATTGTATAGTGTTGGCAAGTTGTATATATCATAACATAACGTTGGCAAGGTGTACATATCATTGTATAGTGTTGGCAACGTGTGTATATCATAGTATAGTGTTGGCAAGGTGTATATATCATAGTATAGTGTTGAAAGGTGTATATCTAACTGTATAGTATGTGTAAAGGTGTACATAGCTGTGTACTGCGTTTGTTAGTGTATACAACATTGTTTTGTGTTGCATTGATGAACATATCGTTGTATACAGTTGACAAGGTGTAGATATCATAGTATAGTGTTGAAAGGTGTATATATCATTGTATAGTATTGTAAAGGTGTATATAGCTGTGTACTGCGTTGGTATTGTACACAGCATTGTTTTGTGAAGTATTGATGAACATATCGTTGTATAGTGTTGACAATGTGTATATATCATAGCATAGTGTTGGCAAGGTGTATATATCATAGTATAGTGTTGAAAGGTGTATATGTCATTGCTTAGTATTGTAAAGGTGTATATATCTGTGTACTGCGTTGTGAGTGTATACAACATTGTTTTGGGTTGTATTGATGAACATATCGTTGTATAGTGTTGACAAGGTGTATATCATAGTATAGTGTTGGCAAGGTGAATATATCATTGTATAGTATTGCAAACGTGTATATAGCTGTGTACTGCGTTGTTAGTGTATGCAACATTGTTTTGTGTTGTATTGATGAACATATCGTTGTATAGTGTTGACAAGGTGTATATATCATAGTATAGTGTTGAAAGGTGTATATATCATTGTATAGTATTGTAAAGGTGCATATAGCTGTGTACTGCGTTGTTAGTGTATACAACATTGTTTTGTGTTGTATTGATGAACATATCGTTGTATAGAGTTGACAAGGTGTATATATCATAGTATAGTGTTGAAAGGTGTATATGTCATTGCTTAGTATTGTAAAGGTGTATATAGCTGTGTACTGCGTTGTTAGTGTATACAACATTGTTTTGGGTTGTATTGATGAACATATCGTTGTATAGTGTTGACAAGGTGTATATCATAGTATAGTGTTGGCAAGGTGAATATATCATTGTATAGTATTGCAAACGTGTATATAGCTGTGTACTGCGTTGTTAGTGTATGCAACATTGTTTTGTGTTGTATTGATGAACATATCGTTGTATAGTGTTGGCAAGGTGTATATATCATTGTATAGTATTGCAAACGTGTATATAGCTGTGTACTGCGTTGTTAGTGTATACAACATTGTTTTGTGTTGTATTGATGAACATATCGTTGTATAGTGTTGACAAGGTGTATAAATCATAGTATAGTGTTGAAAGGTGTATATATCATTATATAGTATTGTAAAGGTGCATATAGCTGTGTACTGCGTTGTTAGTGTATACAACATTGTTTTGTGTTGTATTGAAGAACATATCGTTGTATAGTGTTGACAAGGTGTATATATCATAGCATAGTGTTGGGAATGTGTATATATCATTGTATAGTGTTGAAAGGTATATATTTCATTCTATAGTATTGTAAAGGTGTATATAGCTGTGTACTGTGTTGTTAGTGTATACAACATTGTTTGGGGTTGCATTGATGAACATATCGTTGTATAGTGTTCGCAAGGTGTATATATCATAGTATAGTGTTGACAAGGTGTATATATCATTGTATAGTGTTGGCAAGGTGTATATATCATAGTAAAGTGTTGAAAGGTATATATTTCATTCTATAGTATTGTAAAGGTGTTTATAGCTGTGTACTGCGTTGTTAGTGTATACAACATTGTTTTGGGTTGTATTGATGAACATATCGTTGTATAATGTTCACAAGGTGTATATATCATAGTATAGTGTTGACAAGGTGTATATATCATTGTATAGTGTTGGCAAGGTGTATATATCATAGTATAGTGTTGGCAAGGTGTACATATCATTGTATAGTGTTGGCAAGGTGTATATATCATAGTATAGTGTTGGCAAGGTATATATTTCATTGTATAGTATTGTAAAGGTATATATAGCTGTGTACTCCGTTATTAGTGTATACAACATTGTTTTGGGTTGTATTGATGAACATATCGTTGTATAGTGTTCGCAAGGTGTATATATCATAGTATAGTGTTGACAAGGTGTATATATAATTGTATAGTGTTGGCAAGGTGTATATATCATAACATAACGTTGGCAAGGTGTACATATCATTGTATAGTGTTGGCAACGTGTGTATATCATAGTATAGTGTTGGCAAGGTGTATATATCATAGTATAGTGTTGAAAGGTGTATATATAACTGTATAATATGTGTAAAGGTGTACATAGCTGTGTACTGCGTTTGTTAGTGTATACAACATTGTTTTGTGTTGCATTGATGAACATATCGTTGTATACAGTTGACAAGGTGTAGATATCATAGTATAGTGTTGAAAGGTGTATATATCATTGTATAGTATTGTAAAGGTGTATATAGCTGTGTACTGCGTTGGTATTGTACACAGCATTGTTTTGTGAAGTATTGATGAACATATCGTTGTATAGTGTTGACAATGTGTATATATCATAGCATAGTGTTGGCAAGGTGTATATATCATAGTGTAGTGTTGAAAGGTGTATATGTCATTGCTTAGTATTGTAAAGGTGTATATAGCTGTGTACTGCGTTGTTAGTGTATACAACATTGTTTTGGGTTGTATTGATGAACATATCGTTGTATAGTGTTGACAAGGTGTATATCATAGTATAGTGTTGGCAAGGTGAATATATCATTGTATAGTATTGCAAACGTGTATATAGCTGTGTACTGCGTTGTTAGTGTATGCAACATTGTTTTGTGTTGTATTGATGAACATATCGTTGTATAGTGTTGACAAGGTGTATATATCATAGTATAGTGTTGAAAGGTATACATGTATATATCATTGTATAGTATTGTAAAGGTGTATATAGCTGTGTACTGCGTTGTTAGTGTATACAACATTGTTTTGTGTTGCATTGATGAACATATCGTTGTATACAGTTAACAAGTCTATATATCATAGTATAGTGTTGAAAGGTATATATATCATTGTATAGTATTGTAAAGGCGTATATAGCTGTGTACTGCGTTGTTAGTGTTGTATTTGTCATTGTATAGTGTTGAAAAGGTGTATATGTGAGTGAGTGAGGTTAGTTTTACGCCGCACTCAACAATATTCCAGCTATATGGCGGCGGTCTATAAATAATCAGGTATGGACCAGACAATCATGTGATCACCAGCATCAGCATCGATCTACGCAATTGGGATACAATGACTTGTGTCAACCAAGTCAGCGACCCTGACCACCCGTTCCCGTTAGCCGCCTCTTACGACAAGCATGGGTTACTGAAGATCAATTCTAACCCGGATCTTCACGGGTGTAATTTTTTTATAACATTGATGTGTTATAAAGGTGAATATTGCTGTGTACTGCGTTGTAGTGTCTACAACATTGTTTTGTATTGTATTTAAGAAATACAGTTCGCTCTACCACCATGTATAGTGTAATAAAGCGTCCTCCTGCTTCAACTATAATAGTTCAGGGCGATAGTGTGCTCTATTATACTATATATGGTGATAGAGCGAACTGTATTTCTTTTTTAAGATGCCAAATTTAATACTTTCTAAGGATAATTACGATTAATATAAGGTAGAAACCAAACGACGGTGTCGGTGATCCAAATTAAGAATCCTCGCACAGGGCTAACTGACGCACTGTTCTATTAACGTGTCTACCCCCCTACGTTTGGACGAACGTTACCAAAGAAAAACAAATGATAAGCAGTTTGATGAGAGTTTACGTTCGGATTAAATACTTCTCTAAATTATTTTAATTAAATCTGTCATTTACGTAAACCATATGGGGCAATATGAACGTCGCATTTCTACTACCAACGTAAGTTTAGATCAGTACATCCAGATGAAGCTGAGTAGTAAAGCGACATTCCACGATTGCATTGGGGGGAATGTAAACATTGCGAACGTTACCGTGTCGGTGAAAACTTGTGAGGCGAATCGAGACATTTTAACCGTCGGAAACATAAGTGTAATGTTTCCACCAGTGATGTTAGCTGCGTGAAGCAACTGCAAACCAAGAAACGGGATGCAACGGAGTAGTATACTTACATAAGCTGTACGAGGCGATGACAACTGACATGCATCGTGACGTCGGTTACATTGTGACGCAATGCAAAAAAGTGCACATTATCGTCTGATAAAGTACTGTCGACGCCTTTGATCTTTCACCGAGGCATCTTAGAATGATGAATATATATATTATTGTATAGTGTTATATCGATGTTTATATCATTGTATAGTGTTGTATCGATGTTTATATCAATGTACAGTGTTGTATCGAGGTTTATATCATTGTATAGTGTTGTATCGATGTTTATATCATTGTATAGTGTTTTATCGATGTTTATATCATTGTATAGTTTTGTAAAGGTGTATATATTTTTGTGTAGCATTGTAAAGTTGTATATAGCTGTTCACTGCGTTGCAGTGGTTTAGTCGTTGTCTGTATAACGTTGTGTTGTATAATCGTTGTCTATACAGCACTTTTGAGTTGTATCAATGTATACAGAATTGTATCACATTGTAGTATCTCGTTGTCGTGTCTACATGACATGATATGGCCGTTTTGCCTTCATTGTATATAAAAACTGGCATTATATGAATATGAATGACAGCATCGTGTTGTTAAGTCATTGTCTATATAGCATTGTATAGATTTGTATTGGTGTATAGAGCATTGTAGTGCGTATAGTAGTGCGTATTCTTGCACTTGAACTTGTATAGGTTGTATGTCTCTTTGGATATGATGTTACCTAATGTTTGTTGCCTCCATCTTGCATTGCCGCCGTGATATTGTTGGAATATTGCTAAGAACGCCGTAAAACTCAACTCACTCACTCCAACTAACATTGTATCAATATAAATGACAGCATTGTGTGTACAGCAATGAACTGAGCAGTTGTTGTTAATATGGCATCTTTTGTATTTTGGCTAAGTAAGTGAATGAGTGAGTTTAGTTTTACGACGCACTCAGCAATATTCCAGCTATAAGGTGTCGGTCTGTAAATAATCGATTGTGGATCAGATAATCAAGTGATCAACATCATGAGCATCAATCTACTAAAATTGGGATACGATGACGTGTGTCAACTAAGTCACCCGATCCCGTTAGTCGCCTTTTAACGACAGGCATGGGTTACTGAACGTTAGTTCTTATTCACGGGTCTCTGGTTAAGTGGTGGACCAGATGTGTATTATGTCTTTTTTTTGGCATGATGGGAGTGCGTGTGTCTGTGTGCCTGTGTGTATGCGTGCGTGCGCTCGCATAAATGTGTATTTGTTGGTGTATATATTTATTATGTATTTGTCAGGGTAAGAGGGTCAGCCATTTCGCGAAATGACTGATTTCACAATCTGACTGTCACAAATATATGCAGAAGGTTTAAAATGACCATAACTATAAAACTGTAACTTTCTTCTACCTGCAGGATCTGTTTGACATTGGTTTGAATAGTCTCTCACCCATTAGGAAGTTTGACTCGTCATAATACTCCAATGTTTGTATGTTTCATCGAAGTAATATATCTGTACGACCGTCGTCACTTTGACACTTTGTTCCCACGTTGATATTATATCTGAAATACGATATACCGGAGATGCAACCATCTCACTCACTCACTCACTCAGGGAATACGATTATAATGGTTTATGAGCATGTACATTTATGATAAGTTAATCGTTTGTATGAGTTTTGACTTCATACCTCTCATGACCGTAAATGATTTGACAACGTCTATACCTTTTGACGAATATTTACCTCATGAATATTTACTGAAAGGCGAAGATCCTCCGTTTTGTATCCCTTGTGATGAAAGAATCACGGTCAAGCATCTCCTGCTTGACTGTATTGATTTTTCCATTACAAGGGATAAATAAATGAATGTCAAACCAATTAAGGATTCTTTTTATAAAGTATATTATCATTTAATAAAAGAATACAAAACGTTTGATTATATGTTTTGTAAACAGATCAATTCGTAACTGAGATTGGCAGTAGCTGTATCCTCAAAGGGGTGGTAAGTATGGTAAAAATATTGTCCCCCTGAGAGGGTATGTAAGAGCATGTCTTTCAAAGTATATTTAATCTCATCACATTTTAATCGTAGAATATATGTTCATTTGAATAATGGCTAGAATTGTCCAACTTGCCAACGGCAATAGGGGTGCTACAAATCCAGCTAGGGCCCATGCAGGAAGTAAAAGTAAGTCCCCATGGTTCCTAGTATGGTGATCTACCTTCAGTTGTTGGCAATATATAGCCTGATTTTTATATTGTATTCTCTTTCATAGTTAAGATGTTTTAGATTTTCATACTAGTTTTACATTTATAATTGTGACATCCTAGTTATTTTTACTGTCCTTTGCAGACAGTTAAGTATATTATATAAGTTTGTTTTTATTCATTTATGACCCTCATGGTCTCGAGATGGCTGAAATACTGCCGATGTACCTTTGAATTTTAACTCAGTCACTTCAAATGATATGAGGGCCACTGTACCGGTATTGTTGTGATGAATAAACCCTTGTTTTACATCATGACGTTTTAATGATCAGTAATAATGGAAAAACCATATTTGGCATTTTTGCATTATAATTCCAAAAGATTACATCGTCGACATATGTTACAACGTGCTGAACCTTAAATATATTTTGAGGGGGAGGTGGCGTAGCCTAGTGGTTAAAGTGTTCGCTCATCACACCAAAGACACGGGTTCGATTCCTCACATGGTTACTGTGTGTGAAGCCCATTTCTGGTGTCCCCCCATATTGAATATAGATAAAAGCGGCGTGAAACTAAACACACTCACTGTGCTTTGTCTCACTGTAACAACCGCAACACGAACCAGCATCTCCCAGTTCTTTTTTTAAGACATAACGACGATTTCAGTTCTAGGGTGGGCTCAAACGATGATTATTTGTTGGAAGATGATAGGGATTTGAACTCTTTGCCATTATCAGATTTGTATCTTCCCGACAGTTTAAATGAGACTAGAGCAACACAAGATACTACAGGTAATATGAATGGCTTGGCTCTACTACAAGTGTTATGGGGTATACATATAGGTAACGGTAGGAAAAAAAGGCGACAAAACTGGGTCTATCACAGACAGACAGACAGGTTATTTATTAAAGTCTCACCCCTGTTATACATATATACAAACTAATTGAACATATATTTACATGAGGGCCATTCCATACGGAATTATGAGAGACTAAAATTCTTAAAAAATTGCATGTACATGTATTATGAGTAACAATAATTAAAAGTTATATAATACGGCTTTTCTCCTTTTTTAAAATAACATGGCAGGTTTTGGCAGCTATAAAACAGATATTGCTATTGGACAGGATAAAAGCAGTTTTTTGTATATCAGTAAGATTTTACTAAAATTCTGACATAGGCTATCACAAGTATTTAAAAGACTTACACGTTCATCACTATAAACCGGACAATTAATTAAAACATGAACTTCGTCTGCAACACAGTGTTTACAATAAAAACATTTTCTGTCGTTAAGTGGGATATTGTTATATCTACCCAGCTCAATATTAATTGGTGCAGTGCCGCATCTGAACTTAGCATATGCACTTCTGTATGGGCGGGGCATGGGATGAGTTACGTAAAATTCTGGGGTTTAAACATCCTTAAAAGTACCATAAAAGCGTAGCTTATTTGCTCCCTGTTTAGATGGACCACAGGTATTCCCTACCAATTCCTTCCACTCCTGTCTATAACTATCAAATAATTTCTGTATAACGCTTTGTACAATAAACCTGGAGTTAAAACTATTAGTGGGGGGAAATAAA